GTGCCAGTATTGATGTCGGGTGTGAGCATCAACCAAGGCATGGTGTGTAATCATACAGATAGCAGTGTTTTGGGGAAACAGCACCTAACAAGTAACCGGCCAAGTAACCCCCTTACAAAAATATTGTATAGAATATTACATTGAAATATTTTGGATATTCTATGGAATATTCTAGTAGATTTTGGAACTTATTCTATGGAATATTCTATGGAATATTCAATTGAACTTCTATAGAACATGCTATAGAAGGTTCTATAGAATATACTTATCATTTATAGACCCGGAGCGAGGGGGATTCGGCGTAATATTTCCCGAGGGGCTTTGCCCCGAGGAAAATATCATCACTGAGGGAAATATTACGCCGAATCCCCCGAGCGGAGGGTCTATAAATAATATATTATACCAAAAGTTAAAGAACTCACTAAGTTCAGAATAAACTTTAAAACTTGCTGAATATTATTAAACTATGTGAATACAATTTTTAATTTCTTATGTATACCTGAGTTTTTGACGTTTCCTCTTTAAATATTTAAGCATGTATCCTTTGGATCATTAAAGGCAAAATGCGTCTTGAAAATGTTTTGTTAAATCAAATATTCTGTACGAAAATACGAAATTACAAACAACAGCTCGCGAACGCCATATTGTTTCAGAGCGTGGTGTGCACGCGTCACGCGTGAGCGTGGGATACTATAATATCCCACGGTGGATGTGCCGTGGGATATTATAGTATCCCACGCTGGATTGCGAAATCATGAATTTGAGTGAAATACCGTAAAAAATCACATTATCACGTGGTACAAATGCTGTTATTTCATTGGACAATTTGAATTTGAGGTATAATATTTCTCTATATATCCGGCAGTTGTCTATGTAATAATTAGTCGATAAATAGCGGAAGCTTCAGGAATCAGGAGTGCGAAACATTGCCCTATGCAAGTCACAGTTCCTAGCTGGTGGCAAGATGGTAGGATATTGCTCTTCCCCCGTCCTGTACCCATTTTGACTAGATTGGGAGTGGTGCACATGTTCTCCATTAAATCTATCCATGGCCAATACCGTATTTATTCGTTTATAGGAGCCGCGATGCTATTCAAATATTTAGTATGACAAGAATTTGAGTGAATTCCTAAGGCTGATTAAAGATTAAGATATACTGTACTTGTTATCAAACAATCTCGTCTGATGGTGTTTTGATTAAGAGGAGATTTTTTTGTATGTTACGTAACACGCGCTCAAAACTAATGCGTATAATACAGGGTGTATAAAAAAAAGGTAATCGAACTTCAGCGCACTATTGTATCTGAATTACTCTGCGTATGAACGAGATTTTTTCACATTCAGAAAGTTCATGCTTTTAGCTGTTGAATGATATCTTCTTCATGCCAAATGGATACAAAATGAGCAAATACGAATCCGATAAAAAATGTTAGTCAGAATCGCATATTTTCACCGTTGAGAGTTGGGTCTAAAACCATTGAAAATGAACCCCCTTTGGTACTTAAGTTGATGAATTCCACTTCATTAAACTACGCACATATTCATAAGTAATTATTAAGTAGGAATACATCTTAGCTAAGCTACGACACGTTCATGATTAATTGCTTTTTCTTTTGTTATGCATTGTTTTAATTAGGCACAGAGGTAAAAATATGCGATTTTGACTAACATTTTTGATCGGCCTCGTACATGCTTATTTTTCCTCCATTTGGTATGTAAAGCATGTCATTCAATAGCTAAAAGCTTGATCTTTCCGAATATGAAAACCAATTGTTCATACGCCGAGTGATTCACGTATAATAGCGCGCTGAAGTTCGATTACCTTTTTTTTTATACACCCTGTTTATCACTTGAGGTTATGACTTTTTCGATACGTTTCTCAATAGGCAAACAAACTTGAAAGCAGTATATTTAGTGTTTTATCTGTAAATATGCTATTAGAAATGAAGAGATTTTAGATGATACGCCAAAGAGAAAATGATGTCTGAAGTTCAGTAAGTTTTGCTTATATGGCTGTAAATATGGCGTGAATTTTAATGCAGCATTGATAGTTGTATTTTAATTGACAATTTTTGACTATTATTTTATGTTTCTCAACCGGAAGATGCATTTAAAAAGGTAGCCAACTTTATAATTGCGGGAACCACTGAGTATTTTCATAAAATACAATACAAATCTATTACATCTTAACATAGACGAACCCAACACTGACCAATTTAACCTAACAGCCTTCCTACTGAACAACTGCAACATTATAGACAGGGCTAAGCATTGGTCAAATCTGCTGTTCAAAGAAGCACTCGCCATTCATCGACAAAAACCGGAACTGAATCATGGGACTAAAGCATCCAGAGAACTATCGGTTTTCTTTTAATTATATATCAAATTACGTAGAGTATATATAACGCATGCACATGTAATATAACCATTCCTGATGACAACTCTATAAACTAGAGAATAAAGCTAAAACAAAATAATTTTGAGAGGAACGCCAAAATGATTTTAGGTTTTGAGCACTTTTCATTGCAAATATGTGACAATGAAAAAAATTGCCTCTTAAACGCAACGTTTGGTTTAATAAATGCAGCGCTTATCCAATGACGGCCGCGCTTTTTTATATTTACGGTCTCATATTTGGTACTCAAGGCTGCTTTCCAGTTAAACGTTTTTCATATGTTCAATTCCATTCAATAAAATGCAGTTTATGAAGTAACTGAATAAATAAAAAGACAGTATTTAGTTAGTCGTTATGATTTGAGTGTATTTGTTGAGGTACGTAATTAGTACTTTTCATCGTATTCATTTTTAAATTAATGGGGTTCATTTCCTGCAATTTCATGGTCTCTTAGCAGTGCGATTTCGGCACGAATCGCACTCATATCAGTGTGATTTCAAAATGGCTCGCATCAGCTTGGTCATATGAAATCGTATCATTTTTTGAGCCAATCAGATTTCGTTGATTCAACAAGCCAATCAATTTTAAGAAAAATGTGATCAGACAAATGACGAAATCATGAACTCTTACAAAAAGTTGTATTGGTTGTTGATAGCGTGCTATTAGAAATGAAGAGATTTTAGATGATACGCCAAAGAGAAAATGATGTCTGAAGTTCAGTAAGTTTTGCTTATATGGCTGTAAATATGGCGTGAATTTTAATGCAGCATTGATAGTTGTATTTTAATTGACAATTTTTGACTATTATTTTATGTTTCTCAACCGGAAGATGCATTTAAAAAGGTAGCCAACTTTATAATTGCGGGAACCACTGAGTATTTTCATAAAATACAATACAAATCTATTACAACTTAACATAGACGAACCCAACACTGACCAATTTAACCTAACAGCCTTCCTACTGAACAACTGCAACATTATAGACAGGGCTAAGCATTGGTCAAATCTGCTGTTCAAAGAAGCACTCGCCATTCATCGACAAAAACCGGAACTGAATCATGGGACTAAAGCATCCAGAGAACTATCGGTTTTCTTTTAATTATATATCAAATTACGTAGAGTATATATAACGCATGCACATGTAATATAACCATTCCTGATGACAACTCTATAAACTAGAGAATAAAGCTAAAACAAAATAATTTTGAGAGGAACGCCAAAATGATTTTAGGTTTTGAGCACTTTTCATTGCAAATATGTGACAATGAAAAAAATTGCCTCTTAAACGCAACGTTTGGTTTAATAAATGCAGCGCTTATCCAATGACGGCCGCGCTTTTTTATATTTACGGTCTCATATTTGGTACTCAAGGCTGCTTTCCAGTTAAACGTTTTTCATATGTTCAATTCCATTCAATAAAATGCAGTTTATGAAGTAACTGAATAAATAAAAAGACAGTATTTAGTTAGTCGTTATGATTTGAGTGTATTTGTTGAGGTACGTAATTAGTACTTTTCATCGTATTCATTTTTAAATCAATGGGGTTCATTTCCTGCAATTTCATGGTCTCTTAGCAGTGCGATTTCGGCACGAATCGCACTCATATCAGTGTGATTTCAAAATGGCTCGCATCAGCTTGGTCATATGAAATCGTATCATTTTTTGAGCCAATCAGATTTCGTTGATTCAACAAGCCAATCAATTTTAAGAAAAATGTGATCAGACAAATGACGAAATCATGAACTCTTACAAAAAGTTGTATTGGTTGTTGATAGCGTGCCTAAATTTTTTTTATAAAACAAGATATAGACGCTTCCCCCATTTTAAAATGATTGCTCAAATAACCGATGGGCAAATTGCGTTTGGAACAAAAATTTCAATGAAACATTATAAAAATACCACAAAAGATACTTAAAAGCGACAACCAAAACAAGGTGAATTGTTGATCGTATTGTATTAAGCCCAAATCTTTATTTTAGCAAATGTTCCTTACACTTTCTTTAGTTCTCTTTCGCATTTGTCATAATACTGCGAATTGAATGTTTAGCTTATTTGCTTGTTCCTAGGCTACCGTGTTCAGGGAGTATCGCGGGTGTGACAAAAAAGAACTGTTTCCAGTTTTACAAAATTGTTTAAGATTTCAAAATGAATATTTAATTCTGGACTTCGTGCAATTTTGGACTGAAATGAAACATGTAATTACAAATCGCATTCCCGCTTCGCGGTCGTGCGATTTTATAATCACGTGCTTGATGTCAATCCAAATTGCACTTCCCTCAGTTCAATTAGTATCGTAAATAAAATGTAGAATCGGATTTTAAATGTTCCGTGCGTACAGGCGGATATGTAAAACGCTTGACAGGAAAGCAGCCTTTAATCGCGGGTAGTACTTAACAAATAAATACGATATCTCAACCAAACTTGGAAAGCGCAGTCTAAACTCGAAAATGGTTATTTTCCATCACAATATTCTATAACAGCCACCTCTCGTATTGGCACATGTATGACGCTGAGCTGTTGGTCATCAACCAGCCTAGAAGACGTCGCCTCATTCTGTAATGGACTGAAATGGTTTCAAATAGACATTCTTACAAATCGCGACATCATGGGAAGTCTCATAAAACGAGCCGAGGCCACTGGGTACAAAGCAATCGTATTAACTGTCGACATACCAGTTGTTGGCAAACGATACAAGGGTTTCAGGTGCACATTTTCTGTACCGCCTCATCCTAATTTGAAGCAAGCTTTGGAATCTACGAATTTGTCAAAAATCTCCCCTGATGTTGTTGACAGAATTCACGACCCTTCGGCAACATGGGATACACTGATTCCTTGGGTGCGGTCGATGACGTCATTACCAGTTGTATTGAAAGGTATACTTACCATTGAAGATGCTAAGTTGGCAGTAGAGTATGGTGTTGATGGTATCATTGTTTCAAATCATGGTGGTCGACAGTTAGACGGTGCTCTTGCGACGGTAAAAACACATTTCTGTTCTCATTTGAGAAAATATTCTGGCTGCATGCTTGCCGTCCTTTAAGATGTGCACTACAGTTACGTTCAGTATTTAGAATCACTGTCTGATAGCAGAGATCAAGAAACGTCGAGTTTCTGCTTATTTTTGAAGGTAGTAATATAACCACTCAGCACAGCATTTCTGAATTATGTTTACATTACATTACATTACATGAGGTCTAATTACTGTAGCTACATATCACACCAATATTACAAGTTACATAAAACCAACTAAAGTTTGGTGAACAAGAGCCAAGAGGCTACTCTAAAATATTATATTTAAAATGAGTTCTACTGTTTAGTGTTATTCGAATTGGCTAGAATTTTAGTGAACTAGCAATAAAAAACCTGTTCTTAAAGTGATCTGTTCGGAAGTTTGCGTTAAACTTATGTTTGGCCCTAAGATCGGTGACGCACGTGTTACAGGGTGGAAGAAATTCATCAGCCGACTTAGAACAGAGTAGCTAGCGGAAACAATGTCTGATACTGTACGAAAAATATTTCAACTGATCATACCAGACTTACAGCCACGCTTTGACAACAGATCTTTCTCTCCTTATAGATAGAAGTCCTACCAGAAATAGTGTCAGCCGTCGGTGATGATATCGAAGTTTATGTGGACGGTGGCGTAAGATTTGGTTCGGATATTTTCAAAGCTTTAGCTTCGGGAGCAAGAGCAGTCTTTGTAGGAAGGCCTGTCTTATGGGGTCTCGCCTATCAGGTATAAAGACCGGTAACTGACAACAATTATTTGTCGAGGTTATTATCAGGAAATTGATCTCACACCGAGTGAAAAATATCTAAGATTTACTGCTAATCTATCAGAAACCTAAAAGGCCACTAACTGCGGGCACTATAACTGTCAGTGAACTCTATAAATGCTGGAAAGATAAGTACTAGATAAAACACCCTATAACTGGGAGAAGCCAACATGGCGGCCAATAGAGTGATCTCTTGTAAGTTTAAAACATGCGTGTATTTCGCGTGGGGTTCGCGGGACGGCGGGAAGCTAAAAAATACTAAGGTTCTCCGACCGATGTTTTTCAATTTTGGAAGTAAAAACTCATTTTGGTTGGTACATACCCTATTTGCATAGGCGTACAAGAAAGGGGAGCAATTTTTCCCTCCCCCCGCCTAAAAATATAAATTAGAGAACAATGGAAATTCTAGACTTAATTGCTCCAAGTCTCTCTTTCATTGTCATATCGATCCACTATAGTGTACATTACATGACGTAGCACGGACAGATTCAGGCGAATGATATGAATAATCAAGAACGTTAATGGTATTTATCAGAAGAGGGTCCTGAAGGGGTAAAATGGGAACTGGGATTGATCTTTTTTTAGACTGGGAATTTGGGTTGCTGGGACTGGGATTTGGCCACTGGGAATGGGAAATGAAGTTCTCAAAAAATGGGAAATGGATTGAGGTAATGCGATTCGATTCCCAATTTTTCCACTTTTTAGTATTTTAAGAGATAATTTTGATCCGTTTTTTGGTGTCTTTGGTCTATATTATGCATGGACAGGGTGGGAGACCAAATACATTTTCACATAGTAAACATACTTTATTCAAACTGCACGAAGTTTTCGGCTCCATGCGCTGGACTAGAAATCCTGGCTACGTCACTGGTATAATGACGTCTTGGGGCTTTGACTTTGCCTGTAATTTTCCCCAGATAAATTTTAGAGTAGAGACATACAACGCTGAAGTATTTTTTTTTATTTCTCAACTTGAAGGGAGAGGAGGGAGTTTTTAAAGTTCTAAATATATTCAAGGAAGAACTCAAAATTACAATGGCGCTAAGTGGTAAGATTATTTTACTAATATTATGATTGATTAGAAATTTATTACAGCATACGTATGTGCGTTCCTGTGTTATTCGCAGTATATTATATGGCAAGGCGGCCCATCTGCAAAATGCAGCTAGTTGATTGGCTCCTGAGTGGTCGGTAATATGCAGTACTGATCTCATAGTGTGCACCGCTATATAAGATGGACACTCGCGAAGAGAAAACTTAAATTAAATAACTCTTTCCTTAGTACAAAAAACTTTACAGTAAGGGGCTGATTACATGGAGAGATTTCAGCCTAGGTAAACGAGTTGAAAGTGCATCACGATTACATTACACGCCCGGGCGTGCGAAGGTAAGAGCCTGGGTACGAGGTTGGATGAAACTCAGCCCGGGCTGAAAACTCTCCATGTAATCAGCCCCTAAATATGTTACCATGGTAGGTTTTTTCTATATAGAAGTACTTACCGTACTCTACTCTAGTTTGTGTTAAAACGTTGTTTTTGATTCCACCTATCTATGACTATGGAACATTATTTGTATTTCATAAACAATAGTATATTTTGATACTTTTAAGGTTGTGCAAGTTTAAAAGATATCGTCAAAGAAATGGTCGTCCACGAATCATTGTATCGATCAAAGTTATGAGTTAATTGTACCATACTGGGCCTTCTGTTATTTACAGAGGGCAGCTGTACTTTCAAGCCTTTAATAATTTTGAGAAATATGAAACGATTTCAGAGACAGAAAACAGTAATATAAAAGTATATATCTGCTCCTTGCATTTGATGTTGTTAAATCCAGCTTTTTTACCCAAGCTATAATTTACATAAAAATATCACTCGATTGTAATGCAGTGCAAAATTTTGGAACAGCAGCGTAAAAAAGTGATAAGTAATAAGAATTTTTAGGAGTATCGATATGGTATCGACAGTATCAAAACGAAATTTCAAAATTTCAATTGAAATTTGTTCGCCAGCGAATATAGACAAAGCAAGATTCGGAAGAACAACCACAACGACGAACTTTAAATATAATTTTCAGGCTTAAAGATGAATAACAATGTTTACATATAGCTTAAAGATGAATACAATGTTTACATACGTAATGTTAACAAATTATCCATTGTATTTATATTTCTCATACATCATTTATAGATATTCATAGCATTTCGGCCAATGACATGGTTTAATGTACATCACGTGTATCTGGATACCCCGTCTAGACCACGTCTAAAACACTAACTCGGATTTGAAATATTACTTCTCACAACCTCGTCCCCAGGGCTCAAAAGGCCCTGGGGACGAGGTTGTATTTCTCAGTGCTTGGTAACCAAGCCTTAATGTGATCCCAAAAACATTTTCTGCCGGCTAGACAATATGGCTTTTATCTTTGTTTTTTTTTAAATGGAAACGACTTTATCTTCAACAAGACTTTAGTGAAATTTTAAAGCCGTCATCGTTGTATGGTGTGATGTAACAATTAAAACAAACTTTTTAATGTATAATAATAATACTTATACTAATAATAATAATACTTATTCATAATATCAATACTTCTCAAATTCATTAATAATTCATGAGTAATTCAGCCAATGATAATCACCTATTTGATCACAAGATGCCATTTGGATACTTGATGAAAGTCACTAGTGTTTTCATCAAATATCTTAATTACGCATGCAAAATTACTTGAATAGAATTCCTAATTACGTTATGCTTGGTTAAGAATTCTATTCAAATCAGCAAACGAAAACATTCTGTTACGTCTCGATTCATTTGAGAAGCCATATAAACAACTCGAGCTCGTGTCTCACCGGGATATCCAAACACTTGAAAACAATGTATGAAAACACTCGCGCTTCGCGCTCGTGTTCTCATACATTGTTTTCTCGTGTTTGGATATCCCGGTGAAACACTCGCTCTCGTTGTTCATATATTACTTCTCAAATTCATTAATAATTCATGAGCAATTCAGCCAATGATAATCACCTATTGATCACAAGATGCCATTTGGATAACCCGGTGAAACATGATGAAAGTCACTAGTGTTTTCATCAAATCTCTTAATTACGCATGCAAAGTATATTACTTGAATAGAATTCCTAATTACGTTATGCTTGGTTAAGAATTCTATTTAAATCAGCAAACGAAAACATTCTGTTACGTCTCGATTCATTTGAGAAGCCACATAAACAACTCGAGCTCGTGTCTCACCGGGATATCCAAACACTCGAAAACAATGTATGAAAACAACATTGTTTTCTCGTGTTTCCACCAGCCCCCCCTGTAATTAATGACCGGTTCCTTATCTGATATGCCCTAGTCCTAGAGTACTAATTTTATATTTGCAAGCTAAAACTATACAATCCGCCCACAGTTTGCAAAGTAAACAATGACTGCAGAGAAAGAATAAAAATAACAGAAAAAGACTATGTTCACACGGGGGAATTCGGAACAGTACTCAATATCGTCCGGTTTTATATGTTCACACGGAACCGCATGAATTGTAGTCCCGGAAGTTGCGTACTTCATGTTAGTTTAATATATGGAGTTAGTATTCTTCTCAACCCCAATCCTCTACCTTTGGTCTTGAAAAAGCCCGGTTCCGCTGATCACACGGCGCCGCCTAATTTATAGGAGCTGTTCCGGTACAAAACAAATGTAATAAAGAAAATCGTGTATGATTTTTAACTAGTTCTCGGTAAAGTATACTGAACATCGCGAAATGTTATAAGTATTTTATTCATGGTATAATTTAGACAATTCTATAATGCTAAAGAAGAACACTGATTTGTAATACATGCGCTGACTGTGTACGTAACAAGCAGGGAAATATATGCCAGCAATACAAAGGACACCATAATATAAAATACATATTTATGATCAAACAATGACTACATTATAATAACAAAATAACTATGACCCATTCAAACGGAATGGCAAAAACAATTGGTTATAACTTCATTTATTTTCTATCCTAAAAATTTTAGGGTTTTCGCTCCGTTGGAAATAGTGAACTTTACAAAATAGCTTTCAAATGTTGTCCATTTTATCTAATTCCCGTCTTTAATATCGCGGAACTCTCGGCCCGAGATTAGTTAGTGATGAAAGCATACCGGGCCCTCTTCAATATAGTATTCACCGGTTTCCTTGTCAATAGGAATAGCACCCGTGATAGGAAGTCGCAGTCTTCGTTTCGTTGTGATTGCTAGTTTAGTTTGATGCCATTCGCCATCCATATTCTGGAAGAAATAAAATGATGCATGTAGTTAAACAATGATGGAATCAGGAAACTATGTTATATCGCTGAATGTAATCATCGCATTTTGCGAGTTGCCAAAGCACAATTGAAGATTATACTCTACTATACTTTGCAAACCAACTTAGTTTTCAAATTAGACCGAGGCGACGTTACTGTATAATCAGGCACCTGTATACCAGAAATGAAGCCTCATCAGAGAGGTAAATGGTAGAGCTTAGAGAGGTAAATGGTAGATTCGCTGATTGATAGCTCGGACATTGCGTAGTTACTGTTGCTACGTCCTATAAACCGCTCTGTTTGATCGTACAATGCGATTTTTAATTTACGATTCCCCGTGAATTTTATCTATATTGGATTTTATCTGCTCTTCTCAAAGGCATTATTCATTAACATAGCACAAAGGAAATCTAGATACCATGTGATCACCTTGAATTTCACTTTAAGTCCGTTTGAGAATATAAGCCAGTAATAAATGCTTTGCAACACCCAATGGGAAAGACCTTCTTGGTCTGCGAACATTTCTTGGCATTTATGCTCACCGTCCCTTTTCTCAAGTAACTAAAAATTTCTGAATTCATCTTTCAAAAAAACTGAATAGCTAACAAAATGATAGGTGTCGACTCAAAACCAAGTTTACTAAATTCCTAACGTAGTTATAACCGAGTATAACATATTTGAGAAAGTGGGACATAAACAAGTACTATTAACTGCATACTTACATTGCATCCGTTTTCTAGTACTTTTGGTCTATAGAACATTGGGCTTGCCATGTTAATCGTTTCTGCGTCATATCCAATTAATTCTACGGACTTCTTCGTTTGTTCATTCCATGCTTGTGAGTTCTTGCAATGATATGTGATGGTCTGTTCTACGCGCCTGCTTAACAATGTCAGCTTCATAAGTTGTATGTAGTTGAACATATGTGTGAACTAAAGGAGAATATAGTAAAAAAAATAAGTTATCTGGGCGAGCAAATCAGATATAAAGCTCGCTGTAACACTTGTTGTCACGCGACCTATTGTCATATGTGGAGGATTGGTATTAGAGTTTCTGTCGATGGCGATTAGAGTCATTGTCATGCAAGCTCGGTAGGGCAGTCATAGAGGTGTTCACGTGATACGAAAATGTTCTTCACTATAAATATCACTATCTAGCAATATCACTATTGGACAAGATCCATATGCTGTGAGCAAGAAAGTCTTGTAATCAATCGTACTTAAAACAGAGCATTCAACATTTTAAATAATCTAACATGACGAGTTTAGTTTTCCAGGGTTTTTCATGCCCCACTTTAAAATTCCAGGAATTTCAAAGTTTGTACGACGGCAATAAAAATCCAGGGTTTTCCAGGATTTTCAGGGGAAGTACGAATCCTGTTTCAAGTTCAAATTGACTTTACTGAGGATATCCTCGTATGAAAGGACACATTCAGTGAAACCTTACCGGTCTGTTTTCTATTGGATAGACACATGTGTGTTTCTGCTTGAAATCACATTTGGCTATGAAGGCGTTCTTACTGCTCAAAATGAAAGGTTCAATCCAGTAGTAACCTAGTTAAGAAGATAACATAAATGAGCAATTGTTCAACAATCAAGAAGAATGCAATAAAACGAGATCGTGCATTCAGCTGTTGGAAGGACTCACTCATGTCATATGCGACTTAAGCGAACTTACAATCAGATAACGGCGTATTGCGCCAGGAATGGATTTACTGGTGGATGATGCGGGATGTGCACCTCTCCTAATCTTAGCAAAGAAGGCTGCAAGGAGGGTGCGGTGGTACAATTGGGGGGGGGGGAGGGGCTGCCAATTGGAAATGCAATATTACAAAACAAAAATAGAACAGAGACAGTAGTCATGGTCACGTTACTATCTCACTTTTGACGGTCGCCCTCTGAACCACGACCAAAGCTGGACGAGCACACTACCCCTACCAGAGCTGGATCCATTCCTGTACCGCAAGCTAAGAATCCAACCTTGCTCTCGGGTAGGCGAATGGTGTATCACCAATTACCCCAGTAGTAAAAATCTAACCCACAGCGTTTTGGTAGAAATATTACCGCATATACATTGTTTAATAATCTGAAATATAAAGTTTGACACTACGCTTCGACATAAATTTCGTCCACATTTAAACAATGAAGAGAATCAAAAACGCAAATACCGTTAGAATCATGCGGTGTCCGTTGGAGTGACACTTACCGCTCTCTAAGTCAGGATGGTCGTAGAATAAGTCACCACAACTTCTGGCAGGGAAGAGTCGTGTGCCAGGTGGTTTCAATTTCTTCGCGTATCGATCGTGTACGTAACCAACCAGGTCATTTGGAACTTCATCTTCCTTATCCTCCTCCTAAGAGAACGAAATCATATACAGCAATTGCAGCAATGTACCAGCATGTACACGTAGTTCAAATGCTTATTCGCTTAAAATTTGACATGAACATAAAGAGGTGATCTGAGATGCATCCAGATTTAATACCAGCTTCAAAGTGCGTTGCCGTAACGAATGAACTTCAAATATCACTGTACTATATGTACCTCCGGGTCGGTTCCTCGGTAATATCTTGGTCCCTTTCTTGCGTCACTGAAGATCTGATATAAAAGAAGACAGGTTACGTTATAAACTATTGCAAAAATATCAAACTAGACACTACTCCAACGGCAAAACCTTCAGCGAACAGTTAAATAATAACTAATCCAGAATTACATGCATGCAGCAACCCTAGCTCGCATTCTCCCGATCATTATTTCAACATAATCCATTTTGAGGCTTAACTTTGAAAAAAATCCAACTATTATACTTTACCCAAGGATGTATCGAGTTTGCTATGCCCTGGTCTAGCGCAAGTGAATAGGGGAGAGACTCCCTAACTGCACGGCTGCCATAGAGATAATATAGGTATTATCAAATATACAACTTACCACGAGGTTTTGTCCAGGAGGTCCCTGAAATCAAAGAAAAGAAAATTAGCAACGATAACTCCTTAATCTGTCATCATATCATGTCAAAAACTATCACAATGCACTTATCCCTGGGCCATCAATCATTCCACCACTTTAGTATTTGCATTGAAGGAGTCAAGAGAAACCTCCTAAGCATTGTTGGGACAGAAATTGACCGGGAAATACAATAATATAATAAAGAGTTTATATGCGTAACACACATTACTGCAATCCTGAGGGTTACATTGTGATAATACAATTTGGTCGTTTGGCCGAGAAACATGATCAAGCAGCACTTTAATTTTACACAATTCAATTGTTTTTGAATTTCGTTCGGAATTTCGTGCAGGAAGGCTGCTGTGCAAATATAAATGCCCCAAACGACACTTAGGGTGTACGTCATGTATCGTTTTTGAAAGACGAATCTTACCCACAAGACGAGCAAATATCATTGAAATAAAGTATAAAACGAAAAGCAAAAAACGACTTGAAAATCAAAACGTGGACTAAAACAACACGTAAATGTAATGGTCATATTTCGAGCCTATAACAGAATCATCATCAGACCACTGGATAGTTAGCCGGATGAGTGAACGTACATGTGATGCAGTTAAACTTAAATCGAGAAGTAACTCCTTAGATCAGCTATATCATGACCGATCTTTCAAGATGCAAAATGACTGGTATGCATGTGAGTGAGTTATTATATATGAGAGCCGTTCCATATCGATGCAGATATGAATAGTTGTGGAACTAGGTGAGCTCTGATGATGGTCCATTTCTAAATTTGCAATTTCCATATACAAAATTATACTTACTGGAGGGCCAGATGGTCCAGATGGTCCAATAGGACCCTACAGAAAAAGAACAAGAAATTAAAAAATAAATTTATCATGTACATACTATTAAGTATTGAATTTTAGTATTCAAAACGTTCGAAGCAACAGAAAAGAAAATAGTAAAAGAGCATTTTCCGTGTTTTCTGAAAGGAATTTTTATCATTACATATTCGAGATTTTGTAATGCACTTTATAACTTTTTAAAACCTCGTTCCCGAAGTTTAGAAATAACATTCGTACAGTAGGAATGCAGTCACAAGCATGCATGAATGAATTAGTTTTGTTCCTATTGATATCTACACAGTATCGATGTAACAAAATATTATGGAATAAATTGATTGTAATTTCTTGTGCAAGAAAGAAAGAAAGAAAGAAAACATTAGAAATAAATAAATAAATAATTAGGAAGAAAGAATTAGAAAGAAAGAATTAGAAAGAAAGAATTAGAAAGAAAGTATGAAATGAAATACAATCCTGGACGAGGAAATTATCGACGGGCCTCCCAACCGCCCTGCGTCCAACGCATTAAACCAAACCAATATTGCTAGGTACGTACTGGTTCGCCAGGTCGACCATCTCTTCCGGGAGGTCCTTGAGAACCTTGGGGACCAACTTGTCCTGGTCCACCCTGTACAAAAAATAAAACAAAATCTTGAGTTCTAAATCTAAAGTTGATTTTATTTTAAAAAAAGGGAGTGAATTTGAACCTTCACTCAAAAATTGAGTATATTCGCTCATAAATGTGAGTAATATACTCAAAATTGAGCCACTTTGGATGCATTATTTTACTGAAGTTTTTGCGAAAATACTGAGGGACTTTTTGTATTACTATATGTGTTTCTCAATGGCATATGTATTTTAAATGGTGGCCAAATGTATAAGCTAGAAAATAAAGCTAAAACAAATTGGAAGGTACGCCACAAAGATTGTAGCTGTTCAATTGTTGGTCATTTTGTCGCAAATACGTGGCATAGAAAAAAATTCCCTTTGAAGGATTAGTGTCACACCATTATGCATCATGATGGCTTATATTCCTGCCGGGGCCATTTTATGGGTACTCTGGGTGCCAGATGAGAGCCTCTTCTGATAGAAGTGAGGACACGACGATGAGCCTCTGGTCACACGAGCATCCAGCCACACTTTGGCGAGTTCAATATTTGAACTTTGTTTGTGATTGGTCTAAATTTATAAGGGTCTTTTTATCTTATTATTGGTTAACCAACGCGAATCGGTTAACGAATAAAAAGATCCTTATAAATTTAGACCAATCACAAACAAAGTTCAAATATTGAACTCACAAAAGTGAGGCTGGATGCTCGTGTGACCAGAGCCTCGTCGGGTCCTTGCGTCTATCACAAGAGGATCTGGCACCCAGGGTATTTTATGGGCCGAGTAGATCAATACATCCGGAAACATTTATTATTAACAAATATTTAAATAATCACTTGAGAATCTTCTATTATTTCATCTGATACGAAACAGGGCATTTTAAATGTTATTTGTTAATTTTGGGTATGGTAAGAAGAACGACAAAACCCCGCGATTCCAAGATGTGACACTAGAACCTTTAAATGTTATTACATTACCTGTCGACCTTGGACACCTGCAATACCTTCATCGCCAGGCTCACCAGCATCACCCTAGAAAATTACCAAAGATTATCCGTTTATATACAATGGTATTTATTCAAAAGTAATATATCTTCGCGCGCCTGTGGTGCACTTGGTTTGCGCATGTGATATTGCGTCTGATTGAGGAACAATTTCAAATTTCACGCATACGTGATGGGAGAGTCTCAAGAAATCGTTAAATCATATTCCTTAAAGTGTATCCGTAAGGTTACGTGCAGTGGAATATTTAGGTATTTACAGTATTCGAAGTGTTTTCGAGGAGTAGCCAATGTATTTATTAAGAATGAAAACAACTCTGAGTAGACCGCGAGTGGTAGCAAGAAACGAAATACGCCCACTTTTCGCTCTTGTCAAATTGGCTCCGCCTTTGCATAAACATTACTATATCCAATTAAATCTATCCAATAGGAAACCGTTAATGTCATGTTTATTTACAGGGTGTATCCAAAAAGGTAATCGAACTTCAGCGCGCTATTGTACCTGAATTACTCGGCGTATGAACATTTTGTTTTCATATTCGAAAAGATGAGGCTTTTAGCTGTTGAATGACATGTTTTCATGCCAAATGGAGAAAAAATAAGCAAGTACGAGTCCGATAAAAAATGTTAGTCAGAATCGCATATTACAACGGTGAAAATATGCGATCTGACTAGCATTTTTTATCAGACTCGTACTTGCTTATTTTTTATCCATCTGGCATGAAGAACATATCATTCAACAGCTAAAAGCCTGATCTTTCCGAAGATGAAAAAATCTCGTCCATACGCAGTAATTCAGAGACAAAAGCGCGCTGACGTTCGATTACTTTTATTTTGACACACCCTGTATAAAATCAACATTCACTCTGGAAATTAATTATAGCATAATTACTACATATCAGATTTGATTGACAGGCGTATCGATTTCGACCAATGGGAATTTTTCGTTGTGTGGGCAACGCGGTTTCATTTCTTGACTGTGTTGTCTGCAGTCCCTCCTTTCCTTTCTCGCGCCAGGAAATCTAAACCCGCGGAAAGGAAACTCTGAGGAAATCACGGAAATATTAGAGCGTCGAGCGAAAATCAGTATTTTTAGGATTTTGTGTTGGAATCATATATATTACGGTGATTCCAAGTAAGGGTAAGGAAAAATTATACAAAATTTTGGTCGTATCAATTATTATTCATCATTATCGCTCAAAAGAACACAATTCGATATGTGTTTTTGTGGATGGAAATCTCTAACCTAAATATTAGGTCTACCTGGCTTGCACTAAAACACTAAAAGGGAACATCGGGGCCTCTCCTCTCTCCCTTTTAGCGAAAGGGAAGAAAAATATATGCCCGACATTTATTCTTGACAAACGTCAATCAAAATCTTTCACTGGGTATTAAGTTATTTTACCGGACCGCCAGCTTTTCCAGGTTCACCATCTCTGCCGGGTTCTCCTGCAGGTCCCTATATAAAAATAGAAAAATGTTTAATTGTTGTTGGTATTTATAACGCAAAGATATTTCGACATGTAAGTGTTTAAGG